GTTCGACGACCAAACGCTCTATCGGATCAGCAGACCCAGCTATCCAAACTTTTTTTAAGGGCGTCTGATCATGACTAGTCGATCGGTCGGCTTTGACTCGACATGAGTGATCATCACGCAACCGATCGCCCTGGTCAATCAAACTAAAATGCATCGATTCGCTAATGATCGTTGTATTACATTTAAATGAAAACACTAATCTTGTATTAATTTAGCACATTGGCTGCATTAAAAGTGGTTTCCGTAATCGTTCCTTCCTTTCTCTCAAGAATTCTTTGTTGGCTCTACTCTCTTTCTCTCGTACTCTCATTCTCTCGACTCCAACTCTCGGGGCGTGTTTTTTCTGAAGGACAGTTAAGGTTCCAACACTATTGAATTGATTTATTTTGATAAGTGTTAAATACAGAGTTGTCCGTAAATCACACTCTGGGATTAGAGCATAAGAAATGAGAGAGGAAAAGGCAGAGAAAGAAATGAACAGTAAAACATCTTATCTATTAGCCCTTTCTTAAGAAAATAATCTCTTCATTTATAATGGAGAATGAATAATGGATGATCTTACATTTATTCTCTGCTTTAATGGAGGTGTTATAGAATATTTAAGACAATCTCACATTTATGAGCCTATTGTTCAACTGATCCATGATTTAATTGGTTGGGTAAGCATGACTTTGGCTGGTTAAGACTAATTTGATTGGCTAAGCTTGACCTGTACGACTTTGAATTTAGTTGTGGTGACCAAATCAGTTGGGTTAGCGTGACAGCCCAACGATTTTTATTGGGCAACAAATTAATCGTGGTGGTCGAGTAGAGATGAAGGACTTTCCAAACTTCAAGCTCTTTGAATCTCTAGTCCTCCCCATCATGTTGAGAGTAGTGATCTTCTATAAAATTTGGGCTTGAAATTTTCTATAAATATTAGCAAAATTCAAAACAATGAATAAAATTGTTTGGTGTGATCCTATTAATTATAAGATATTTTTATGATGGTTCAAGGTTGCTAATGATGTCAAGATTTAATAATCAAAATAAATTTGTTGGATTTGTCTACTTGAGACACTCAATTCAACTACAAAAATAAAAAATTTAGAGATCATCTCTAAACCCAATTAATATCTCAAAACTCTTAATTATACCTTAAGAGTCCGTTTGAGGCGGCAGTGCGGTGGTAGGGCGACACTACATTACAATTTTGTCTGTTTGATTAAACTACGTTTTAACAGTTTTTTTCAAAAAAACTGCTGCTGAAATTTGTGCTTTGCCACCCCTCCTTGTTATGTGTGGTGACAACTTTCTAGCTGCAGTCTAACATTAGAAAAATATTGTAATAACCACCGTAGTTTTTTAAGCCTCATATTATTATTTAGCAGTCTCATAACTGTTTTTTAAGATGTTGTAGCCGCCCCAAACAGACCATAAATCTTTCGATCTGGGCTCAATTGCTTATAGCTAATTTGTGATCTTATCTTATAGCTCATATTTTTCATATTTTCTTATATTTAAATATATACCTAATTATCTCAACTATTCAATTCATTTTGGATAATTAGATTAATGCTATTTTTTTATACTCTAAAAATTAATAATATAAATAATTTCATCACCTAAAATAGATTAAATAATTTAAAAAAAAAAAAACTAAATGGCTACCAAATTATACTCCTTTTCTAGAGAGAGATGGTCTTCAGATATCTCGATTGTCAATAATGGCGGCAATCCTAAGAGCTCCTATGTTAGGTTTTTGAGGCACGAGCTTAATTCAAGGGGAATTTAAACAAACACACCCCGTCCAATTTTATGTATTTATAGATCTAACACCTAAACTTTACTTTTTATATTTTTACCTCCTAAATCTTTCATATCACACAAAAATATACTTTTTTATGTGCAGATAAGGTGACATATATGTAAAAATTGAGATTTAGTTGTTAGTATGTAAATACATAGGAAACAAGTGGTATTTATGTGTATCTTCCTTAATATAAATGGAATTTCAATTTTGATAATCTTTTTGGGCAATTGCATATATGTCCCGCACAACTCTTATGTATATGGAAAAATATTACTTCAGAACTCCTAACGTAGAGTTACATTTGAATTGCAATATTCGGTTGTGTTAGGGGAATATTTCATCTGTGTTATTTGTAAAAATGGTGTTATTCGAATATTTCCCTGTGTTAATTGATTTGAGGTTATGTTATTCGGCATATTATCCATTTCCCTGTGTTAATTGATTTGAGGTTATGTTATTTGGCATATTATCCGTGTTATTTGAATTTTCACTATGTTATTGGAATAACACAGCCCCAAATCAAGTAATGCGGGGGAATATTCCAATAACACTTCAGCCCCAAATCAAATAACGCGATGGAATATTCTAATAACATTGTAAAATAATCGAGTAACATCATATAATACTCAAATAACACATCATTTTTACAAATAACGCATATGAAATATTTCTGTAACACAACTGAATATTCTAATCCAAACAAATCAATTCTTTCGCACCACATTAAAAATATTGCTATCACTAATTTTTGTAATGTGAATTACTTTTTTTCATGCATAGCTAAGATGGCATGAATTTAAAAAGTAAAATTTGGGTGTTGATATGCAAATACATGGAAATTGTGTGGCAAGTCATAAGAAAACTTATTAAAATGTTTTTTAGCACTCAAACTGCAAACATAAGTTTGAGATAACAGCCCTTAAACACTAAAATAGGAAGAAAATTCTTACATTGTGTTTATAATTCTTAGATTCCATTCTTATAATTAAGACTGAGCCACATCCACATTAAACAGTCCAACCACTAGTTTTGACTTTAATTTTTTAAATTTAAGAATATTTTGGCATAATAAGTATTTATTTTGGATCAATTTTTTTTAATTTTTCTTTATTTTTAAAATATATTTATTTAATGTGCTTATATATATAATCTTCTATTTCTAAAAATAAATTAAAATATTTTGAAATTGTCAAAATTTGAAAATAGTTAAAATAGTTTTTAGATGTTTTGAGTATTTTTAAAAGGAACAATCTCTTAATCAAATATATTATGGGTGCAATTAATGCAGGTATATGAACAATTTTGATCATACGGTCCGAGAGCTTCTCTCAATTAGACATTGTTTAATGAACATTTGGATGCCTTAATGATGTTGAAATTGAGTGATCTTGGGCTCGTTGGATTCGTCTTATCAAGACGCTCAATTCGACTATAAAATTGTCAGATTTAGCATCTGTTTGAGCTTCCAAATATGTCTAAAAACCTTCCAAGTATGGTTTAATGACTTCATCTGGGCTTGATAACTCAGATTGAACTAACTTTGATATCATTAGATCTGTCTCATCAAGCTAGTTGGTTTAACTATAAGTTTGTTGAAATCGAAGCTTTGGGTGAGTTTTTATCAAGATTTGAACGTTTCTTGTTCAAAATATCATCTCGAGATTCGTGTTACGCTTTGAGATTTGTGCATGATGATGAAAATTTGTTGTTGTATTAGAAAACCTTCCAATGCTTCCAAGTATGGTTTAATGACTTCATCTGGGCTTGATAACTCAGATTGAACTAACTTTGATATCATTAGGTCTGTCTCATCAAGCTGGTTGGCTTAACTATAAGTTTGCTGAAATCGAAGCTCGTTATTGACAATGGTTGATGACGATTGACAGCGGTCAACGATGGTCGACAGTTATTTCTGTAATCATCAATCAATAGTGGATTTTTGCAACTGGGCCACGCCCCGTGGTTTTTCCCTTTAGAGGTTTTCCACATAAAAACTTCTAGAATATTCACTATTTGTTTCTCTTTCATCTGTGTGTGTGCTGAATTCTCGTACAATACTAAAACAATAATCTATTACTCTATCATTGTAAATTTTCTAGTACACATCAACCATAAATATTTCTAAGATTTTCTACCACTCTAGTAACATGGTCATTTAAATCTCCTTTAATAAAAATTCTTTCTTCGAGATGTATCATTTATATTAATTATTCTAGGCCATTTAAGAATTTTTTTCTTTTAAACATATATTGAAACCTACTTGAGGAGCATAAACATTTATAACTTTAAGAGCTATAATTCTATAAACAATTTTCTATCTCTAATTCTATTAATTCTTACAAAATTATCTTTTAAACTCTTATTTAAAATTACACCTACACCATTTCCAATGAAACTCCTACTTGAATACCAAACTTTAAAACCCAAGCTATCAATCTTCTTAGTTTTTTCTTCAACTCATTTAGCTTCTTGAATACACAAGGTATTTATCTTCATATGAACTATAAAATCACCTAATTCCATTAATTTACCAATGAGGGTACCTATATTTCAAGATTCTATCTTGATATTAGTTTCATGGATCAACTACTTTTCATGCATTCGTCTCTAATGTGGGAATCTTCACTTATTTGGCACTACACCTAAGCATCGGTGTAGCGACACTTACTCGCTTTTCATTGTATTCAGGTCATACAACGCGTCGCTTCCAGAGGACGCCGTAACATTAGCACAAGGGGTTAAAGCATCCGTGTCATGATTTTTTTTAAAAATTTACGTCGGTTGTCGACTATCTAACGCAACCTTCCACTTTCACTTCCAGGCCTTGAGATCTGGCAGCGACAATGTTATTCACTTTAATAGAGAAAATCATATTAAAATGTTGATAAGACAATCCTATCTCCATCTCTAATAATTAATAATTAGGGTGGATGTCATAGAGGGTGAACAGAGTGGTCCAGCATCAGTGATTGGATTAAAAAAATTTTAAATGTTCGGGACAATGATAATTTTTGTTAAGTGGTGATGGTCACCGACATTGATTTTAACAAACCTTCAGTGTTGATTAAATCTTGAACATC